TGAAATGCTCTCGGCAAGCCCCTCTTTTGGTGGGACGTTCTGTGGAGAGTGCCATTCTCCACACACACACACACACACACACACACACACACACACACAGCCCCTGTTGACCCCCTCACCCGAACACCAAACTGTGCAGAGCTTCCACAACAAAAACAGAAATTGCTGGAAAAGCTCAATAGGTTTGGCAGCATCCGTGGAGAGAAATCAGAGTTAACGTTTAGGGTCCAGTGATCCTTTCTAATAACTGATGGTAGCTAGGAAAATGTCGTTTTTTTTAAGTAGACGATAGGGTGGGAGGTGGAGGGGAGGTAAGGAATAAATGATAGATGGGGATAGAACCCAAAGAGACAGAAGAACAGTCGGACAGACAAAGGAGCGGGAGAATGAATAGCTATTAGTGGACAATTAGTCGCTAATGATGGGTGGAGTGTAATAGCAGACTATGTGAGGCCTGGTGTGTGGGGCCTGGAGTAGGGCATAGGGAGAAGTTGCCTCAAGCCCTAAAATTGTTGAGCTCAATATTGAATCCAGAAATCTGTAGAATTCCCAAGTGGAAAACTGAGGTGCTGTTTTTCCAGCTTGCGCTGAGCTGCGCTGGGGTACTGCAGCAAGCCAGAGACAGAAATACTAGTCAGGGAACTGGAAGCTCAGGGCCTTTTTTGCAGGCAGAGCTTCCCCTGTCCCCAGCCTCTGCTCCCTTTTGGTGTTGCAGACCCAGATAGGCTGCGTTGATAGGCCTCTTGATGATGTGTGAGGGGTCAAATGTTTGAGCCTCTCTGAGGCTAACAGTCTCACACAGACACTGCACATCAATAGCTCACTCTCCGGTCGCAGGAATAAGTCAAAAACAGTTCATCTTCTAGCCCAGAGGAGACAGTAACATTGTGGTAATATATCCAGAGGCCTAGGCTAATGCTCCAGGAATGTGGGTTCAAATCGCTCTGAGGTGGAATTTTAAATTCAATTAATGCACTGAAAATGTCTGGTATTTAAAACGAGTAACGGAGTCCATGGCAACTGTCTACTCTGAATTGATTATGGATTGTTAAGCCATCTGGTTCTTTAGGAAGGGAAATCTGCCATCCTTACCTGGTCTGGCCTACATGTGACTCCAGACCCGCATGCAACATGGCTGACTCTTAAGCACCTTCCGAAATGGCTCAACAACCCACTCAATTCCCGGGCAATGAAGGCCAACTTTCCCAGTGCGACACCCACAGCTTTGGATGTGTAAACAGCGCTGGCTGGGGAGATCTCTCACCCAACTGGACTCCTATCCAGCTGCAGTTGGTTTACCCAGATGTTCAGCAGAACTGCAGGGCTGAAGTTCCCATGGTGCCCCAGACTGCTGCTGATCTTTCTGAGGCATGGGGGACCATCCTGTTGATTGGATGTCTCTAAAACAGTGGTGCTGCAGAGCTGTATTTCATGGGGTCATGTTTTTAACCTGAGAATCTTTGTTTCACCCCAACCAGAATCGGAGAATCATTGTGGCAAAGGAGGAGGCCATTCGGCCCAATATGCCTGCACTGATTCTATTCCCTTAGTGTCAATCTCCATAACCCTGTACACCATTTCAATTCAACTAACAATCCAATGCCCCTCTTGAATGCCACACTTGGATCTGCCGCTCGCACGTTTCCAGGCAGTTCCTTCCAGACCCTAACCACTCACTGGGTGAAAAGAGATTTTCTCCCATTGCCCTTGTTTCATTTGCATGTCATTTTAAATCTCTGCCACATAGCTTGAGCAGAAGCAGGAACAGCCTGTCTCTATCGACTCTGTCCAACCAGTCCTATCACGATTTTGAAAACCTCTATCAAATCTCCTCTCAGCCTCCTTCTCTCCAAGGAGAACACTCCCAACTTCTTCAGTCTATCCTCATCACTGAAGTTGCTCATTCCTGGAACCATTCTTGTAAATTGCTTCTGCACTCTCCCCCAATGCATTCATATCTTTCCAACAATGTGATGTCCACAACCATACACCTGAGTCCAATCCCTTTCGTACTCCAAGACTAGGCCTTGTCCAGTTGATTATCATCACCTTGGGCCTTTCCCATAATTCCCACAAATAGTAATCACTGTTTGCCAACTGCTGGCTCAAAGGGGCTTTGATTTTTGCCAAGAATCCAACCCTCCATTTAACACATCCCCTAATTTTCTAAACCTTTGCCTGATGCCATATCAAGGCTTGAGCCACAAAGACTTAATTGTTGTCCTTGCTGAATCCAGTACTGACACAGGTGTTCCTGGGCATTCTGTGTCTAAGTCTCAACTTCTTGTCACTTAAATCTGTCTGACATTCCCACCATTATAACGGAACAGGCAAAGTGTCAACGATTAATGTTTCCTCACAAACTTTTCCATGACGGTCTGAGTCTTTGTCCCAATTTATAAGTATCTGACTTAGGAACACTCATCCCTATGAGTGCGATCCAATATAGGGTTTTAATTTTTAAAGACCCAACACATGAACATTTCCTGTACTTAATGTTTTCTGTTGTCGTGAATCACCCTCTAACTTGTGAACGGACTTCAGATTGGAACCCGGTTATGACCCAGGGTCTGCCTGTATGAGCCAATCACTGAACGATTCATCAGTGTCCTACATCTAACTCACTCTGGAGTACTGCTGAAAGCTCTCACCTTAAGCAAAAGTATGATGGGTGATAGTCCCCTGATGCATTCACCATTGCAAAGCCTTGGTCCATCAGCACCTGTTTCTCATACAGTGTAACTTGTTGTTTGCTTTGAATTTTGGCATTCTTGCAATCGATGAGTGCAAGGTGAGAAGCTTTGACAGCATGTCTTTCAGTTTGAAGAAGGGTCACTCGACCCAAAGCATTATTTCTCTGTGATTTCTCTCCACAGATGCTGCCAGACTTGTGGAGATTTTCCAGCAATTTGTTTTTGTTTCTGATTTACAGCATCCGCAATTCTTTCAGTTTTCAATAGCTCAATCTGATATCAAGCAACCTTTTACCCTTTAATTAAAATATGTCACAATACTTGAATTTTAATATTCTATAGCAATCATGTTTAAAGATTAAATTCACTTTAAATTGGAATTCCCAATCTTTCATTTTCAGGGCAGCACAGTTGCTCAGTAGTTAGCACTGCTGCTTCTCAGCGCCAAGGACCTGGGTTTGATTCCACTCTCAGGCTATCCTCATCACTGAAGTTGCTCATTCCTGGAGCCATTCTTGTAAATTGCTTCTGCACTCTACCCCAATGCATTCATATATCTTTGTGGAGTCTGTGTGGAGTTTGCACATTCTCCCCATGTATGCGTGGGTTTCCTCCGGGTGCTCTGGTTTCCTCCCACAGTCCAAAGATGTGTAGGTTAGGGTGGATTGGCTGTGCTAAATTGCCCCTAGTGTTCAGGGATGTGCAGGCTAGGTGGGTGAGCCATGGGAAGTGCAGGGTTACAGGGATAGGGTGGGGGGCTGGATCTGGGTGGGATGCTCTACAATGACAAGGTCATTGCAGATTTGATGGGCCGAAAGGCCTCTTTCCGCACTGTGGGAATTCTATGATTCCATTCAATGATCTTTCCAATCATGAATTTTCACTCCTCCAACACCATGCAAAGTGTCCAGCCTAATATGTCCAACCCTGTTTTGAAGAAGGGTCACTGGACTCAAAACATTAACTCTGTTTCTCTCTCCACAGATGCTGCCAGACCTGTTGAGTTTCTCTGTCACTTTGTTTTATTTTGGTTTAACCCAAGTCCCTTTATTCAAAATCATAAAAACAGGAAGAGCTAAAGAAACTCTGCAGATCCGACACTGTCTTTGGGGGAGAGAAACTGAGTTAATGTTCTGTCTTGCATGTGAACTTCAGAACTGAAGATGTAGTGATTGAAAACGAGGTCAGCCTGGTGGACCTCATCGAACATGAGTTCTCTGGGGCTGTTCATCTGGTCCAATCAGGGAGCCCTGGCTGACAGATATAAACAGCAGTGTCAGGGGCTCTGTTCACTGACAGCTGGCTCTGTGCTAGCTGGGTCAGTGTCATGTACTGTGCACGTGTAAATAAAGGGTGACAGGATACTGGCCTTTGTGGAGTTATTTCCGAAGAGAGGTAGAAATGTCATGGAGTTGTACAATAGGGAAGGTCCAGGATATACAGGAATGCAGGACATTGGAACATGAGTAGGCCTTTCAGCCCTTTGAACCTGTTCCATCATTCAATAAGCTCTTGGCTGATCTGATTGTGGTATGACCGCCATTGTCTTGTCTGCTTCTCTGTTAGTATTGACTCTCTTGTCAATCAGAAACCTACCCAACTCAGCATTGAATAGATTGAAAGATCCACCCTCTTCTGGGTAAAATAATGCCTTGGTTTAATGACTATCAGTCTGAGGAGGGGGAGGGGGAACTCATCTTTGCCTTAAAAGCACAATCCCTCATTCTTAAACAGTGATGTCCCCTGGTTTCCCTGAATCTGCATTAGGCCCACTTTCCAGCTTTAGGCCTCTAGCCTTGAATGTCAGACAGTGGGAGAGATTAAATGACACAAAGATGTGATGGAACAAAAAGCAAAGCGAACGGTAACGGTTGTAGAGAAGTGACAAAGCTTTGATCCAGCATGAGGTGTTAATGACAGAATAATAAAAAGCTCTGTCTGAGAGGTAACAAGACTATAAACCAAGACTGGACTGGGCAAAGGAGGAGGAAGAAAAAAAATCAAAACACGGGATAGAGTTCACAGCCTGAAATGGTTGAACCCGAATTTTAGTCCAGAGGCTTGTAAAATGCCTCATTGAAAGATTATTTAATATTCAGCTTCTCTCATTTTCTGTGGTTGCCTTCTATGAAGGGTTTTTCCCCACTCTCTCGAGTGACATTTTGGAATTGATTCTGTTTTACATCCAGTGCTGAAGGGGCAACCAGTGGTTCTAGGGATGCAGCTGTAGTTCAGCCACAAGTAATGTTATTAGGCAAGTGATTGTTTGAATCAATAACAACTCTCTCACTCTTCTTCTACAGACGCTGTGGAGTCTTGACATGCACAGAGACACGAATCTGTCCTTGCGTTTTGCTGACCGCCCCCTGTGGGATTACTGGGTCGCAGAATCTGAGGACAGCATTCCTCGGTCCCTGGTGAGAATTCCTGATGGACGGCAGTGTGACATCTGTGCCCCATCCCTCGAGAGACGTATCAAGTGAGTATGGCAGGCAATGGTTACCGTCCAACTCTGGGGCATCAGGTGCTCAGATGGCCCCCTTGCCACATAGTGCACATGACCCTTGGGCACTGGCCTCATTGCCAGAAGGAAAAACAAAGGGCATTGGTCTGATTGTTCCATTATTAAAAGGCTAGCACTAGTGGTAGAGTTTCTGGAATATTCAGTCCACTCATATGCTCCTCCATACCTCAACATTCCCCATAGCCAGTCCTTGGGCTTCTGTCCTACTCTGCCCACACAGTGCTATTTAAACCCAGAGAGGAGTATCTCTGTGACATCATCACAAGGATGCTTCAGGATCCTAATGCCTCGATACAACAAGGGGGTTGGCGCCAGTGATACCCGGGGTGATTCTAAGGGATCTGCGGGATCGACCCAGAATGCAAAGTCAGTCGATTGTTACAGTGAGGTCTTGGAAACGTGCAGAATCTCCCACACCTGTGGGTTTCACAGAGTCTGTGTCATTTTCTGGGAATTTATGGCCTTAGGAGATTTAAGTACCATCACATTAACAGTTTGGGCGGGAAAGAGGAAGATTTAACCATTCCTTAGATTTCCTGCTGCCATTGGGAAAGGGATGGGTGGGGAGGATTCCAAGAAGGGAATGTGTTTGAACAGGGTCTCTGCCACAGGCATATCAGGATTACTGGAATTGTTCTCCTCTGTCTCCTGCAGGATGGAGCAGTCCTGGCAGTTGTGGCAGGAATTCCTGGATAACTATTCCCGGTTCAATGACTGGATGCACTGGGCTGAAGCCCTGGCCAAGGAGCCCCTCTCTTCCCAGGTTCTGTATTCCGAGGCTAAGGAGGAGCTGAAGCGGTTTGAGGTGAGCGAACTCGGCTAGAATCCAGCCCTGGTGGTGGGTAAAGGCTGGTCAACCCATTAATCCTAAACCACTGGTGTTTGGTCACCAAGTGCTATAATAGTCTTGATGTGCAGCTTTGGGCTCTATCCAGGGCCTGCTGAGAGGAGGAAATCAAGGTCCCAGTTCTTCTGATCTGGGTCCGAATCTCGACTTCCAATCCCAATCAGACCAGAATTTGCCAACTTACCTTCCCAGGGTTTCTCGGGCCAGGGTTGGTCACAGTCCAGAAAACCACGTGGATCGTGTCGGAGGGAATCTGTCCCCTGTTTGTTGTTTTTTCTACAGCATTAGCTGCTGTGTTCCAGTAAGGTAGCAGATTAAAGGCCTCAGACCCCATCCCCCACTCACAACAACTGTGAAGGCACCTGTGTCCGGATTGGGGGTGAGCGGGTACAGGGGCACCGGGGGAGGGCAGGGGTGAGGGGTCTGGCTTGGTGGGGTGGGTCAGTTAAGTGGGTGAGGGGTTACTTGGGGGTGGGGTATGTGGGTAAGGGGTTACTGGGATGTTCAAGTAAGTGGGTGAGGGGTTACTCGGGGGGTAAGTTGATTGGGGGAGGGGTTACTGGGGGGGTCAGGTACGTGGGTGAGGAGTAACTGGGGGGGGGGGGGGGGGG